TAGTGGGAGGAGGTGGTGGGAGAGTCTGGGTGTAGTGGGAGGAGGTGGTGGGAGAGTCTGGGTGTAGTGGGAGGGGGTGGTGGGAGAGTGTGGGTGTAGTGGGAGGAGGTGGGAGAGTCTGGGTGTAGTGGGAGGAGGTGGGAGAGTCTGGGTGTAGTGGGAGGAGGTGGTGGGAGAGTCTGGGTGTAGTGGGAGGAGGTGGTGGGAGAGTCTGGGTGTAGTGGGAGGAGGTGGTGGGAGAGTCTGGGTGTAGTGGGAGGAGGTGGTGGGAGAGTCTGGGTGTAGTGGGAGGAGGTGGTGGGAGAGTCTGGGTGTAGTGGGAGGAGGTGGTGGGAGAGTCTGGGTGTAGTGGGAGGTGGTGGGAGAGTCTGGGTGTAGTGGGAGGTGGTGGTGGGTGTGTCTGGGTGTAGTGGGAGGGGGTGGTGGGAGAGTCTGGGTGTAGTGGGAGGAGGTGGTGGGAGAGTCTGGGTGTAGTGGGAGGAGGTGGTGGGAGAGTCTGGGTGTAGTGGGAGGAGGTGGTGGGAGAGTCTGGGTGTAGTGGGAGGAGGTGGTGGGAGAGTCTGGGTGTAGTGGGAGGAGGTGGTGGGAGAGTCTGGGTGTAGTGGGAGGAGGTGGTGGGAGAGTCTGGGTGTAGTGGGAGGAGGTGGTGGGAGAGTCTGGGTGTAGTGGGAGGAGGTGGTGGGAGAGTCTGGGTGTAGTGGGAGGGGGTGGTGGGAGAGTCTGGGTGTAGTGGGAGGAGGTGGTGGGAGAGTCTGGGTGTAGTGGGAGGAGGTGGTGGGAGAGTCTGGGTGTAGTGGGAGGAGGTGGTGGGAGAGTCTGGGTGTAGTGGGAGGAGGTGGTGGGAGAGTCTGGGTGTAGTGGGAGGAGGTGGTGGGAGAGTCTGGGTGTAGTGGGAGGAGGTGGTGGGAGAGTCTGGGTGTAGTGGGAGGAGGTGGTGGGAGAGTCTGGGTGTAGTGGGAGGAGGTGGTGGGAGAGTCTGGGTGTAGTGGGAGGAGGTGGTGGGAGAGTCTGGGTGTAGTGGGAGGAGGTGGTGGGAGAGTCTGGGTGTAGTGGGAGGAGGTGGTGGGAGAGTCTGGGTGTAGTGGGAGGAGGTGGTGGGAGAGTCTGGGTGTAGTGGGAGGAGGTGGTGGGAGAGTCTGGGTGTAGTGGGAGGAGGTGGTGGGAGAGTCTGGGTGTAGTGGGAGGAGGTGGTGGGAGAGTCTGGGTGTAGTGGGAGGAGGTGGTGGGAGAGTCTGGGTGTAGTGGGAGGAGGTGGTGGGAGAGTCTGGGTGTAGTGGGAGGAGGTGGTGGGAGAGTCTGGGTGTAGTGGGAGGAGGTGGTGGGAGAGTCTGGGTGTAGTGGGAGGAGGTGGTGGGAGAGTCTGGGTGTAGTGGGAGGAGGTGGTGGGAGAGTCTGGGTGTAGTGGGAGGAGGTGGTGGGAGAGTCTGGGTGTAGTGGGAGGAGGTGGTGGGAGAGTCTGGGTGTAGTGGGAGGAGGTGGTGGGAGAGTCTGGGTGTAGTGGGAGGAGGTGGTGGGAGAGTCTGGGTGTAGTGGGAGGAGGTGGTGGGAGAGTCTGGGTGTAGTGGGAGGAGGTGGTGGGAGAGTCTGGGTGTAGTGGGAGGAGGTGGTGGGAGAGTCTGGGTGTAGTGGGAGGAGGTGGTGGGAGAGTCTGGGTGTAGTGGGAGGAGGTGGTGGGAGAGTCTGGGTGTAGTGGGAGGAGGTGGTGGGAGAGTCTGGGTGTAGTGGGAGGAGGTGGTGGGAGAGTCTGGGTGTAGTGGGAGGAGGTGGTGGGAGAGTCTGGGTGTAGTGGGAGGAGGTGGTGGGAGAGTCTGGGTGTAGTGGGAGGAGGTGGTGGGAGAGTCTGGGTGTAGTGGGAGGAGGTGGTGGGAGAGTCTGGGTGTAGTGGGAGGAGGTGGTGGGAGAGTCTGGGTGTAGTGGGAGGTGGTGGTGGGAGAGTCTGGGTGTAGTGGGAGGAGGTGGTGGAAGAGTCTGGGTGTAGTGGGAGGAGGTGGTGGGAGAGTCTGGGTGTAGTGGGAGGAGGTGGTGGGAGAGTCTGGGTGTAGTGGGAGGAGGTGGTGGGAGAGTCTGGGTGTAGTGGGAGGAGGTGGTGGGAGAGTCTGGGTGTAGTGGGAGGAGGTGGTGGGAGAGTCTGGGTGTAGTGGGAGGAGGTGGTGGGAGAGTCTGGGTGTAGTGGGAGGAGGTGGTGGGAGAGTCTGGGTGTAGTGGGAGGAGGTGGTGGGAGAGTCTGGGTGTAGTGGGCGGTGGGAGAGTCTGGGTGTAGTGGGCGGTGGGAGAGTCTGGGTGTAGTGGGCGGTGGGAGAGTCTGGGTGTAGTGGGAGGAGGTGGTGGGAGAGTCTGGGTGTAGTGGGCGGTGGGAGAGTCTGGGTGTAGTGGGAGGAGGTGGTGGGAGAGTCTGGGTGTAGTGGGAGGAGGTGGTGGGAGAGTCTGGGTGTAGTGGGAGGTGGTGGGAGAGTCTGGGTGTAGTGGGAGGTGGTGGGAGAGAGTCTGGGTGTAGTGGGAGGTGGTGGGAGAGAGTCTGGTTATAGTGGGAGGAGGTGGTGGGAGAGAGTCTGGGTATAGTGGGAGGAGGTGGTGGGAGTCTGGGTGTAGTGGGAGGAGAAGGTGGGAGAGTCTGGGTGTAGTGGGTGGAGAAGGTGGGAGAGTCTGGGTGTAGTGAGAGGAGGTGGGAGAGAGAATGGGTGTAGTGGGAGGTGGGAGAGTCTGGGTGTAGTGGGAGGAGGTGGGAGAGAGTCTGGGTGTAGTGGGAGGAGGTGGGAGAGTCTCGGTGTAGTGGGAGGAGGTGGGACAGTCAGGGTGTAGTGGGAGGAGGTGGGAGAGAGACTGGGTATAGGGTGTCCCACGGTGGCTTACCACTTGGTAAACTACCAAAGTACTGGCAGTTTAAACAACATAGAGTTAGAATACGCTATTTGGCAACTGGTGCAATGTAAACAAACTTTGCCATTCAGAAACGTTTTCCTTCATCAGCTGACCGCTCCCAGGAGAAGAAAACGTCGGTGCCGGGCGTATGCCACCACCTGCTTGATGGGGTTCTGGCAGTGATGCGGTGGAGGCTGACTCCATACACAGTTTATAATGTAGATATGATAGAGCCCAGTAGGCTCAGGAACCTGTACACCAGTTGATTGACGGTTGAGAGGCGGGACCAAAGAGCCAGAGCTCAACCCCCGCAACCACAACTAGGTGAGTACACGCTGGACACACGTGGTTGTGTTTACATCTTCAAGACGAGGAGTCACAACCCCACAACCACCTCTCACAATAGTAGGCATCCACCAGTCTCAGGAGACTATGGAGTTGCGCTCTGATTGTCGGTCTGGAGTGGCTTCTCCAGGGCGCAAAGCTGTTACCCATGCAGCAGTTCCCCACCCCCCCTCTCCAGGGCGCAAAGCTAGGGTAGGTTGATACGGGGGAGCTGTTACCCATGCAGCAGGTCCCTCCCCCTCTCCAGGGCGCAAAGCTAGGGTAGGTTGATACGGGGGAGCTGTTACCCATGCAGCAGGTCCCTCCCCCTCTCCAGGGCGCAAAGCTAGGGTAGGTTGATACGGGGGAGCTGTTACCCATGCAGCAGGTTCACCCCCACCCTCCCCACGTCACTTCAACCGTCTCTCCACAATCAATCACCTATCTGTGATTGCAGGTTTGAGCTCAAGTTGTTGATGGTTCACTTCTCATCGTTGAGAGGTGGAGCCACTCTTCTCATGGGTGAGAGGTGGAGCCACTCTTCTCATGGGTGAGAGGTGGAGCCACTCTTCTCATGGGTGAGAGGTGGAGCCACTCTTCTCATGGGTGAGAGGTGGAGCCACTCTTCTCATGGGTGAGAGGTGGAGCCACTCTTCTCATGGGTGAGAGGTGGAGCCACTCTTCTCATGGGTGAGAGGTGGAGCCACTCTTCTCATGGGTGAGAGGTGGAGCCACTCTTCTCATGGGTGAGAGGTGGAGCCACACTCTTCTCATGGGTGAGAGGTGGAGCCACTCTTCTCATGGGTGAGAGGTGGAGCCACTCTTCTCATGGGTGAGAGGTGGAGCCACTCTTCTCATGGGTGAGAGGTGGAGCCACTCTCTTCTCATGGTTGAGAGGAGGAGCCACTCTCTTCTCATGGTTGAGAGGAGGAGCCACTCTCTTCTCATGGTTGAGAGGTGAGTCACTCTCTTCTCATGGTTGAGAGGTGAGCCACTCTTCTCATGGTTGAGAGGTGAGCCACTCTTCTCATGGTTGAGAGGTGAGCCACTCTTCTCATGGTTGAGAGGTGAGCCACTCTTCTCATGGTTGAGAGGTGAGCCACTCTTCTCATGGTTGAGAGGTGAGCCACTCTTCTCATGGTTGAGAGGTGAGCCACTCTTCTCATGGTTGAGAGGTGAGCCACTCTTCTCATGGTTGAGAGGTGAGCCACTCTTCTCATGGTTGAGAGGTGAGCCACTCTTCTCATGGTTGAGAGGTGAGCCACTCTTCTCATGGTTGAGAGGTGAGCCACTCTTCTCATGGTTGAGAGGTGAGCCACTCTTCTCATGGTTGAGAGGTGAGCCACTCTTCTCATGGTTGAGAGGTGAGCCACTCTTCTCATGGTTGAGAGGTGAGCCACTCTTCTCATGGTTGAGAGGTGAGCCACTCTTCTCATGGTTGAGAGGTGAGCCACTCTTCTCATGGTTGAGAGGTGAGCCACTCTTCTCATGGTTGAGAGGTGAGCCACTCTTCTCATGGTTGAGAGGTGAGCCACTCTTCTCATGGTTGAGAGGTGAGCCACTCTTCTCATGGTTGAGAGGTGAGCCACTCTTCTCATGGTTGAGAGGTGAGCCACTCTTCTCATGGTTGAGAGGTGAGCCACTCTTCTCATGGTTGAGAGGTGGAGCCACTCTTCTCATGGTTGAGAGGTGGAGCCACTCTCCTCATGGGTGAGAGGTGGAGCCACTCTCCTCATGGGTGAGAGGTGGAGCCACTCTCCTCATGGGTGAGAGGTGGAGCCACACTCTTCTCATGGGTGAGAGGTGGAGCCACACTCTCATGGGGAGAGTTGGAGCCACTCATGGGTGAGAGGTGGAGCCACTCTCTTCTCATGGGTGAGAGGTGGAGCCACACTCTTCTCATGGGTGAGAGGTGGAGCCACACTCTTCTCATGGGTGAGAGGTGGAGCCACACTCTTCTCATGGGTGAGAGGTGGAGCCACACTCTTCTCATGGGTGAGAGGTGGAGCCACACTCTTCTCATGGGTGAGAGGTGGAGCCACACTCTTCTCATGGGTGAGAGGTGGAGCCACACTCTTCTCATGGGTGAGAGGTGGAGCCACACTCTTCTCATGGGTGAGAGGTGGAGCCACACTCTTCTCATGGGTGAGAGGTGGAGCCACACTCTTCTCATGGGTGAGAGGTGGAGCCACACTCTTCTCATGGGTGAGAGGTGGAGCCACACTCTTCTCATGGGTGAGAGGTGGAGCCACACTCTTCTCATGGGTGAGAGGTGGAGCCACACTCTTCTCATGGGTGAGAGGTGGAGCCACACTCTTCTCATGGGTGAGAGGTGGAGCCACACTCTTCTCATGGGTGAGAGGTGGAGCCACACTCTTCTCATGGGTGAGAGGTGGAGCCACACTCTTCTCATGGGTGAGAGGTGGAGCCACACTCTTCTCATGGGTGAGAGGTGGAGCCACACTCTTCTCATGGTTGAGAGGTGAGCCACTCTTCTCATGGTTGAGAGGTGAGCCACTCTTCTCATGGTTGAGAGGTGAGCCACTCTTCTCATGGTTGAGAGGTGAGCCACTCTTCTCATGGTTGAGAGGTGAGCCACTCTTCTCATGGTTGAGAGGTGAGCCACTCTTCTCATGGTTGAGAGGTGAGCCACTCTTCTCATGGTTGAGAGGTGAGCCACTCTTCTCATGGTTGAGAGGTGAGCCACTCTTCTCATGGTTGAGAGGTGAGCCACTCTTCTCATGGTTGAAGGTGAGCCACTCTTCTCATGGTTGAGAGGTGAGCCACTCTTCTCATGGGTGAGAGGTGAGCCACTCTTCTCATGGGTGAGAGGTGAGCCACTCTTCTCATGGTTGAGAGGTGAGCCACTCTTCTCATGGTTGAGAGGTGAGCCACTCTTCTCATGGGTGAGAGGTGAGCCACTCTTCTCATGGGTGAGAGGTGAGCCACTCTTCTCATGGTTGAGAGGTGAGCCACTCTTCTCATGGGTGAGAGGTGAGCCACTCTTCTCATGGGTGAGAGGTGAGCCACTCTTCTCATGGGTGAGAGGTGAGAAACTCTTCTCATGGGTGAGAGGTGAGCCACTCTCTTCTCATGGGTGAGAGGTGAGCCATTCTTCTCATGGGTGAGAGGTGGAGCCACTCTTCTCATGGGTGAGAGGTGGAGCCACTCTTCTCATGGGTGAGAGGTGGAGCCACTCTTCTCATGGTTGAGAGGTGGAGCCACTCTTCTCATGGGTGAGAGGTGGAGCCACTCTTCTCATGGGTGAGAGGTGAGCCACTCTTCTCATGGGTGAGAGGTGGAGCCACTCTTCTCATGGGTGAGAGGTGGAGCCACTCTCTTCTCATGGGTGAGAGGTGAGCCATTCTTCTCATGGGTGAGAGGTGGAGCCACTCTTCTCATGAGTGAG